AAGTAGTGCTTCGGGAATCTTGCTTTTATAGAAGATTGACAGATACTTCTAAAGATGAAGAAAACCAAGAACAGTCTGAAGAGCTACAGGAAGATATGTTAGGTGGTATATTTTTTTTTTTTAATGCCACAACTTCCTGAGAATTATTTCTGTGTGATTAGTTAGAGTTCTAAGGTTCTTGCCTTCTTGCAGAAAATAATTGAGCAAGTTTGGAAAAGTAAATCTTTGGCATTTCATAAATTACAGTATTTTTGGCTTCTAAGATATCTTGTTGCATCTCTAGGATAAATCCTAATCTCATGGAACAGGAAGGAGGGCAGAGGTTAACGTTGAATTTCGATGAACAGCATTTCTCATTGTCAGTTTTGCAGTCAGGAGGATCAGAGCTGTAGAACAGAGCCCGAGTCTTGAAAACAAATTACTGGAGAAAAGAGGCACAGAATGGTGTCATGGAAGAGGATGCTTTTTTGTGAGGGGAGTTGGGATAAAGGGGAAGGAGGGAAATGTGAGGGATAGACCAGCAAACCTGAGTCTGTATTTATTCTTCTAGAATTTATTCTTTTAAGAAGTTTCGAGATGGGCCACTAGAACTGCAGAGATGATTTAGTGACTGTTTCCTGACTCAATCCAACGCAGGGAACCGGTTGCTGCTGCCGTCCCCTGCCGTGAAGCAGGAGGCCAAGGCCATGGAGGAGAACGTGGGGCTCATCGTGTACAACGGGGCCATGGTGGACGTGGGGAGCCTCCTGCAGAAGCTGGAGAAGAGCGAGAGGGTGCGGGCAGAGATCGAGCAGAAGCTGCAGCTGCTGGAGGAGAAAACAGGTGGGGCTGTACTGGGAAGACAATGCTGACAGAGACACTGAGGCTTTCTGAGGGAAGAAATCAGTTGGAGTGATACCTGTGATCTAAATTGTACTTATTTGCCTGCCTGTCGGTTTTCTTTTTCCCAAAGCCTTTTAACTTGCACACCGTTGTTGAGTACCATTCTTGTCATGCTGAAATGCTTTCATTTCTTTTATTTGAGACTTCCAAATGCAGTGAGAATTAAATGTTATCAAATGGTAATGCAATGCAGTTCTTAATGTTCTTTAAAAATTACTATTATGATGTTGGTACATAAATAGAATATTAAGATGCGAAGTCACAGCATCAGAACTGACTTGACTTTCTTGTTTATTCCCTTCCTAAGATGAGGATGAAAAAACTATACTACAGCTGGACAACTCTAACAAAAGTCTGTCCGGAGAGCTCAAAGAAGTAAAAAAGGACCTTGGCCAACTGCAAGAAAATTTGAAGATCTCAGATGATAAAAAATTGCAATTTGAGGGTCAGCTGAATAAGACAATCAAAAATTTAGCTACTGTTATGGATGAAATACAGAGTGTTCTTAAACAGGTTAGAGTTGTTTAATTCCATTTTTTATTATTGTATCCAAACTTCTGTTGACAAAACATATGGAACAGAAACTTCAAAATAAAAACCAAATTTGACATGAATTCAGGGCAGTAGTATCTTAACATATATGTGGAAGAAGCTCAATGTGATATCAGTTTTTTAAAGATAAAAAATTAAATGTGGGGTTTTTTTCTCAGCTTGCAACACATGTTTCTGTGACTGAGATGTTTTAAAAATGCATAAATATTAATGTAAATCTCAAACCATTTCACTGTTCTCCTGTTCTGATCTTGTCCATCCCCAACAGCCCAAATCTGCTCCTCTGTTTTATTGGTGAGCAGTACTTTGTCAGGGCAGAATTCAAATATTTCAATATATGAGAGTAAAATGAGTTTAAAGCAACCACGTAACACTCCAGAGCATTTCTGCCTCTCAGTTGTAACTAAACTGAGTTGGATACCAGTTCACAGAGTCTTTAAAGCTGACAGGAAACAGTGTCTGTCTCGCACTGCTTTACAGCTCACAGGAGAAATATCACTTCCACAACTCATGTCATTCTCTCCTGGCTTTTCTTTTCAAGGATATGGTGAAGAATGAAGATAAAGATCAGAAATCCAAAGAAAATGGAGCAAACGTATGATAAACTGCTGCTTTCGAGAAGAATGGTGTTACATAATGTAATATAAATCATGATACCAGAATGTATGGGAAGTGATGCATGTTTGATTTTAGTAGTATAAATATCCTAGTTCCAAAAGATGTATAAAGTTTTATGAATGTGAGTGTCTGCTCCTGAAGATTGCTTGTAATTCTTAGCATTCAATTTGAGACACTCCTCGAGTGAAAATAATTTTGCATTGCAAAAAGTTTTAGGATGAACTTTGTTATAGTTTTAACCCTAATAAAGTTCATCGACGTTAATGAACAGTAGCAAGTATTTAATTACCAAATGTTTTTCATTGAAGCCTAGTGAAATCAAAATTTTCATTATTTATAGACTTGCCATTTTTAGGGTTTTGTCTTTATTTCGGTCTAATTAGTCTTTTTAAATTCAAATATAAATCACAAAATAGCATGCTGCTTAATTTTGCAAGTAAAGATTTTTTTTTAAAAAAAGCTTCTTGGATTTTTTTTTTTTTCACTTGTCACGACTTTTTTTTTCCCTTCCAAATATAACTTTCTTCCCCAAAGCTGCTTGTATTAAAGCCTCATAATATACAGTAGTTCAGATGAGTTAAGAAAGCAATAGAAACCTGCCAAAATACTGGTAGGATTGTGAGATTTATATGAAAATACATGGGTCTGTTTTAAATGTATGTCATTTGTGTTCATTAAATTGTTCTTCTTTTTGGATTAATAGATATACTCCTTTTTAATTACAAATGCAGTGTATTAAGATGTATGGTTGGGTACCAGGCCAGTAGATGTCAGAACATTGCCTTACGTGGAGAAAAAGCTGCCAGTGGAGACCACCTTGGATTAAATTTGGACTTGTTTCTTAATGTGTGTAATTGCTGCAAAGGCTCGAGTCCAACCAAAGAATGGATGCCCAGCAGCAGTGCTGCATGTTGTAATTACAGAGGAGCGGGACACGCTGGGGGTGGTGGAAATGGGTGAGGGCCTTTCTTTGTGCTCACAGGTCACAAGAGACTGACACTTAAAACTTCCTGTGACATCGTGGTCAAAGGCAGACTACTCACCGACTGTCAAACAGGAGCTGTTGTGTTTTGGTGCAACTTCCAGGACAATTAACGGGTTCGAAGGTTGGAACGGAAGTGTTTTCTTACAGAAATGGTTAATTTTAGCAGATCTTTTCTTTTTTAGCCTAGTTGTCCTAGGTTACTAAATACCTGTTAGGAGAGTCCAAGTGCCATAATATGTATGAATAACCTACATGGAAACTCATGTAGCTTTAATGAGATACACATTAAAATGCCTGAATTTATGTTCAAAAGAGTCTAAGCTGGTGCTTTTATCACTTACCTTTCTTGGCTCTTTTGGAGCTAGACAAGTGAAATATCTTTTCATTAAAGTAACATGCATAAGCTCATTCATCTCAGCTGAGTCACTGTACAATACCTGAACTGTTCACACGTAGGAAATATTATAAAAACACTAATTGTTGTATATAAGTGCACAGAAAATGCATGCTTTAAGAATTGGGAGATAACATCTCAGTGACTGAATGAGGATGAGGATTGAATTTATCTTCTGAAAAGCATTATCTGTGGTGTACAGATGGTGTTAACAAATTCTTTTGTAATCAAATTCTATTTTTCACCTTTACCTTTGTACAGATTGTTGACAGCATGTTTAATTTTGGATGTTGAGCACCATTTATTTAAAGGGATTTGAAAGAATTGCATTTGAAATACTTTGTTCATGATTTTCAGCAGTACATGTCAACGTACAGGAAAAGGAGTCCAGAATTCAAGAGAACATCATTTTAGGCACACTGAAAAACATCTGAAATATTGTGTTGGGGTATTTCTACCTCCAGCTGCTGAGCTGAAAGCAGTGGTTACAACAGGTAGGCCTGATCTGATGTTTCAGTGAGGGGCCCTGTGAGACAGTTGCTACAGTGATACAGATTTTTACAATATTTAACAAAAAAGGTATTTGTTAGAATGACTGTAATCTTTCTCTATATTGCTTTGTTGTAATAGTGTTTCGGATACTATGTACAATCTGCGTTTATGCTGGAAAGGAAATTAAATGGATAAAGAATAAAGAAAAAAAAAGGAAAAGTTTTACAACCTAAGCAGAGCTTGACCAGTCTCCTGAAGCACAAATAATGTGAGGAAGAACAGGCACCTCTACAGCCTGTGTGAGCTGCTGGACCAAAAAGCACAAGGTTCTGTATATGACCCACACTGATGCTGTGCATTAGCTACAGCTTCCTGGTAATATTCCCAGAAATGTAACTCAGTCTTAAGTAAGTTGAGTGTCATTAAGGGGGGTTTGGAGAAACAATCTTTTGTCAGCTTTGACTTACAAAGTTTTTGCATTTCATGTCCACACTTCCCACCTCGTGGTCTTTTGTTATGTACCAGTTGATGGCAAAAGGCTGGTAAAAGTGAGCCTGAGCTGGGTCTTACTCTGCCTCAGCATCCCATTTGTTTGGACTTTTTAAATCCTCACGGATACCCTGCGGAAAGGAAGAAATCCCGGCCTGCCTTGTTCTGTAGAGAAAGCCCTGCTACAGCAGGCCTGTAAATGGAGCCTGATCTCTGGTTATAGATGATTTCCCTCCCTCCTCTGTTTTTTCCAGTAAGGGCAAATGAATGAGCTGAAGCCTTACAAAGTGATAGCCAGCCCAGTGGATGTCTGGCTGAGGCTGGGAAGAAAGCTCCAGGTGATACATGTGCATACCAACTGCTGTAGAATAAAACAGGCTCTCTGAGCCCCTTTGCTGTTGCTGGGGCAGTGAAAAGGCCCAAGTCTGTAGTTCCATTGCTGCACAGCAGCAGTGGCAAGTGGACCAACAGGGAATTTCTGCCAGGTTTCTGTGGGGGTGAGGATTGCACACAGGAAGTGGAGCTGCTGCCAGCACTGCTGCATGTCCTACCATGCTGAACACACCCAGTGTTTTGTGACTCACCCAGTGCCTGGTGCCTGGGCGCTGCTGCTCAGTGACCTCTGGATTGCACAGTGACTTCCCAGCTCTTGCTTTGTCCGGTGTCCTCTGGCTCAGCCTGGGGTGCCCTGAAGTCAACAATGGAGAAGTTGGAATTTTCTGTCTGGTGGCTGCGGGTTTCCACAGATCCAGCTCTTACAATTGTTTCTGTGTCTAACATTATAAAGCCTAGTCCTTTAACATAACTGTTTTTTCAGTGGTTTAACTTTAATGCTTTGTGAGAGAGGAATGGTTTCCAGTCCATCTTTCTGCTGAGTAATGTGCTGTATGAATATCTGTTTGGACTTATGTAACACAGTTAACTTCCACTGACAGTTTTACCAGAAATGTGCACAAAATGTGGTTTTTCTCTTGCTCCTCTGTAATTTTTGTGTACCCAGGTGAGGTTCTTACCTTGAATGCATTTGTTCAGTTCAGTTTATATTTAAAAATATAAAAGCTAAAATTATTCATTTTGAGTGATTGAGTCTTCCAGCCAGCAGTAGATTGCAAAACATGTAGGTAGCACAGTCACTACCCTTAATGCTGATATTTTCCAGAAAGCAGAAATGGGTCAAGTAGAAATTCAGCTGGGATTTGGATATTGCTGTGTAGTGTGACAAGAAAAATGGCATAAGTAATGAATACTTCTACTCAGCTCTCAAAACTTCCAGTGTTTTCCCACCAAACTTACATTTCTGCATTCTGCGTTTCGTTGATGTATTGCACAAAAATAGTTACAGTAAAAAGCTCTAATAACAAAATGCATTGCTTTTAAGTAAAACCAACTTCCCTCTTATTTTTTCATCCACAGCATCACAAGATGGAGTATAGGCTTAGAGTTTTGGAACACACCAAATATCACCTGACATCGTGTGTTTTGTAGTGTTGTATCTGTGTTTAGGAAAGTTGCTTTTGAATTCTAGGTGTCTGATGCCTGAATTTGTCTTGAAAACGTGACACTGCAGTCTTATACTGCTTTTGATTCCTTGTGTCCTGCTGGTTTAAAATTGCTGTCTCTAACAGGTGAGTTCTAAGTTGTGTGAGGATTCAGGCCAAGTGCCCTGCAGTGCATGTAAGAACCTGTTCCTTTGCAGGGGTGATTCAGTGATCCTGCAAGCTGTTGGATGTAGCCCAGTATCAGTTCAGCTCTCTTTATCCTTCTCTAAAAGGATAACCACACAGTGGTGCTGAGTAGATTTGTTTGTTGCATCCTGCAGTTTGATTTTTTTTTTTTTTTTGGTGCAGATTTTGCAAGCCATGTCCCAGTGGGGTGAGGTCTGATCGTTTCTTTTTGGGGGCAAGTGATGTGATCTGTATGGTGCTTCTGAGTCCCTTCTCTCACACATTCCAGAGTCTTTCACCTTACCAGATCCTGGAGTGTTGTAGTGATCTTTTGGGACAAGGATGCAATGATAGTCCTGTGAGGGGATTCTGAATATTCAGAGAAATGGCTTGAGCAGCCAGGTGACAGATGCCCAAAGCCAGGAGTTTTGGCAGGAAAACTGATTGTTTTCCCCTCGTCTAGGGAGGGGCACTAGTGAAAGGATCCTGTTGACTGAGTCATCGTTCACATTTCATTAGGAACAAACAGCTGGGGAGAGCAGCGGCAGAGGGGAGAGGAGGAAGAACTGCAAAGAATTCCAGCCTGAACTCCCCCCTCTCAGCTTTTCAGCAGATATTTTTCAAGTACTAATTTGCTTTATTATTTGCTTGCAACCTTTTTAGTGGTATACAGAAGGATTTGTTTGTTGGTTGGGTTTTTTTCCCTGTACTGCTTAAATCTTCCTGGTTTTCCTGATGCAAAATCATCCAGTTCCATTCCTGTTTTGTCATGCAAGGGACAGGAACAGCTGGAGAACAGCAGCCGTCCTTTTTGGTCCCTTTTTAGCAGGGCTGGATGGCAGCCAGCGGATCAGCATCTGGAAAAGCAGAAATTGCTGCCATGTGTAGTGTTGTAGAACTGTGCAGTTGGAGGTGGAAGTACCTTGCGATGCTGCTCTCAAAAAACACCTGTCATTGCAGACCAAGACTGTGAAACATCCACTGCATGTGTGCAGAGGACCAGTTAAAGGAGCATAGGCAACTTTCCTTGGAAGTATAATGGATGTGCTGTGTGGGGAGATGGGTTGTTAACACTTTCAGCTTGGCTCTAATAAGAAACCAGAATATTGGAAGTTCTCTTAACCCTCTGGAAAGACTCCTGCCTATTTCACAAGGGTTACACTGCATCTCCCACAAAAGACTTGCCTTTTCATCTTGTGTCCTGATGCCTTGTTTTACCAAAGTACTGTTCAAGCAGGTTAAAATATTAAGTACATAATATTAAATGTAACTGTTAGAACATTTGTGTTATAAGTAGTAAAATCTTGGGGAAGGGTTTCCAAAAGCAACTTGAGAGTATTTGTAAATAGAGAAAAGGTTATACTTGTCAAGTATCTCCTCTGGTATAAGGCAGCCAAGTAATGTGACTTAAACAGATGAAAGTGAGGATTAGCTGCTTACCAATACTGAACCTGATTTTTCTGCCTTAATGTCCTTACTGAAATCAAGCTAATAACCTTTTTTTGGTTTTGCTGGGTGTTTTTTTTTGTTTTTGTTTTTTTCTTTGGAGGAGGAGGGTGGTAGTGGTGTTTTCATTATACATACTATAAATAGAGGAAAAATAGATGATCTTTAGTACTGGGACACATATGGGTGGCAGCACATTTATAAGTCCTCAGACTATCTGTGGGATCCAGTAAGATACTTGCAAAGAATGTGCAGTCAGCATTTTCAGTATTCTGATTTGGGCATGTAATGATGGACAGCAGAAAAGGGGACTTGGGGGAGTAATACAATAATGTACAGTAATGGTGATCCATGGACAGAAACAGAATTTGTAGTGTGATCTTTGGATAGCAGTGGCTCAGAATAGGTAGGATTGATAAGGGATGGCTGTGCAGATGTTCTGAGCAATGGATTCATTCTGTTACCTGCCGTGTTTTAAAGTAAAGGAAAATGAATCCACTTGAGGTCTTATTTTCAGTGAAGATGGTTGGGGAAAAAAAGTTATTCTAATGCAACAGGCAATTTAAGAACCTACAAAAATTCCCTAAAGAACGCCCTGAATTGAACACAAAATCCCTCTGTGATCCCCAGCTTCTAGAGCAAGCAGAGCAGAGCTTACCTTGTCTGAGAGATTTTTCCTAGTGAATGAGGGGATGCTCTGCAGCACAAAACGAGCTTTGCAAGTGCTGTGGAAAACGTAAAGGGCAGGGCTAAATCATGGCTGGGGCCTCTGCACCGGTGCCCCTGTGCCCGCTCCGCAGCGCTTCGTGTAAGTGTAACCCGAGACAGGGCAAGAGCCGTGGTTCTGGGCGAGAGGGGAGGGAGGCTTTTGTCTCGGAGAAGTCTTAGCTAGAGCCCTCCAGTGCCCCTGGAGTTACTTGCCTTCACCGGGACTCTGTTCCCGTCCCGACGGGAGCCCTCGGTGCTCGCAGAGCTGGTTCCAGCAGAGTGGCCTGAGCTGCCGCAGCAGCTGAAGTACCAACCCCCCTGCCTGTGGCATTTGGTGACCAGCGGTGTAAATCCCGGCAGGCACAACTCCTGCAGCCGGGCTGCTGGAAAAGCGGGAGCAAGCAGGGCACCGCCAGCGCAGCTTTGTCTGGAGGTGCAGCCTCGGACACTGGGGCAGGCCGGTCTGAAGCGGAGCCAGTGGTGCCCCGGTGAGGCACTGCACCCCGGGAAGGGGCACTCGGGATTTAGGGAAAGCGTGGCAGAAGCAGGTGTGCTGCGTGGTTTCGGTGTTTGGCCGCGGGTCGTGTTCCCCGGAGGAAGGGGCTGCATATAACGCGTCCGAGACTGGCACTGCAATGAACGGGGAGGTGAGTTCCTAACCAGGGGAAGACTAAATTAGTTTAATTCTTCGTGGATGTTTTGAAAGCAAAGATGAAAGGAAAAAACTCTGGGGCTGGATGTTCTGGATGGCGTCAGCACAAAGGTTCCTGTGAGGAAGAGCCACAGAGCTGCTGCTCCCGGAGAAGGTAAAGGCGGAGGGCCCGAGCCCCGCGGGGGGGGTGACGGTGTCGGGAGGGAAGGCACTGATCCCCTAATGCGGATGGGATCGTCTGCACTCAGCACCTGCTTCCAGTCCTAATTCCTCTGGAAATATTCCCCCCGAAAAACAAAACCCAGCCCTACCAAGTGCTCTGTTAAATCTTTTCTAAAAATTTATAAAAGTTAAAAGGATGGAAGATCATGTGGAAAAGAAGAAATTAAGCTCAGACACATTCTAGTTGCTGCCTTTCACGTGCAGCTATCACATCAGAAACTTAGAAGATGAGAATTTTGCAGATGTCATGTAGCACTGACTTGTTTCCCGCAGCACTTAATTTGAATGTATTAACGTCCATGGGACACACAGAGAACACGCACTCACATGTGTCAGGTCTGTTACAGGTCTATAACAACAATGACAAACAACCGAGAGAAGTTTTTTGGGTAATTTTAACTAGTTCACACTGGTGAATATTTAGGCATCATTTTAATTTGCTACCTGCGATTAGTTCACATTCGATTAATTGTTCTAGTGACCTCTGCAGCCTAATGGGGCCGGGCTGCAGTGAAGGGCTTGGTCTATAGGTAAAGTACAACGGGATTATCGGGTGCTCTTAATGCAAATTTGCCACGAAAATCCTCTGCAATGTGGCTGCAGAACACACCCACCAGCTTGAAAATAACGGTGGGTCAGAAGCAGAGCAGACGAAATTTCTGCTCCTGGTATTGACTGCAGCCTCACAGCTCTCCAGTTGTCCCTCAGGGCACTGGTTTTGGTCAGTAAATCCCTTTGCTGTCTGCAGCTGCGGTCGGGGGGGGGCAGACTTCGGTATGTTGGGGTCATTAACCTTGAATTTTACCCTCGGTCCTGCGGAGCATCCCGGGAGATTGCTCCTCTCTGACCGGGCTTTAGCAGTTTTGAATTCTTTCTCAAAGCAAAAAAAATTATCAATTTCTTGAAAACCTGAGCAATGATCTGTTTCAAAAATTTTAACAGGAAAATTTTTGATGTCTAGCCTGTGTTGTCCTTGGCCAGCTCAACCTCTGTATGTTTCTCTTACCTGGTTTAGCTTAAATCGCATAAGGTTTTTTTTTTCCTCTTTCTGGTATTTACCCTTCTTTCCCAATAATTTGTATAGAATAGCCACTCCCTGTTGCAGCCCCATCTTCTGACTAGAAAATTGATCTCTTCATTCAGTCTCATTTCTTGGGCACTCTGATAACTTCACCAAAGTGGTAACATCTGCTCCAGCTGGAGCTCATCTTCCCTGATCACGAAGGAGCCTGCTGACCTCAACTCATTCCAAAAGAGGTATTTTAAGGAAGAACAGTGTTTTACTTACTGGTCTCATCTAAAAAGCAGCAACATCTCTAGGTACATTGGGAATGATTCTCTCTTGCTCTAGTTAACTTTTGTATCACTGATGAAAAGTGATGCGTTATTGCTGATTCCCTGGGGATGATTTAGAGAGCTTAATTCCTTTGGTTTTTACCTCCTTGCTTCCTAGTAACCTTTTTTCTGCTGCATAGCATGGCTGGTTGAATACAAATGTAAATTACTTTGGGAGATTAATTAGATTATTTCCCCTATCATCCTGCCTCTTGCTGCAGTTACACCCAGAGTTAGAGTTCTCTCTCTTCTCTCCGGGAATTCCACTTTTTCAGACAATTGATGTTGAAGCCATGTTTTCATGAGTTTACTTCCGTTTCTGGAAGCCTAACTGAAACGAATTTTCAATTTGTATGTCTTTATTTAGGTAATTTTCCGATTAAAATGGATGCATTCTGTGCGTTCTCTTCCAAAAGTTACCATAATGGCCGTTTTCTTCTCTGGATGACGTTTCTCCCATTTCTTTTATGTATTTTGTTCTAGAAAATACAACTAAACAACTAAAATGTAAGAACAATGTTTCCTTGGGTTTTAGTTATTTTAAAGGAATTGACAGTATTTAAAAATTAAGTCAGTGGTATTACATTTGCTGTTTTTAGCTTACACAGAGAGAGAGGTGACTGTATTTTTAATGTACCTGCTCTCATGTTACTGTTTGCAATAATGAGAACTCCTCACTGCTGTATCTCAAAGAGCTTTCCTGGCTATGGCTCCTCATCAGAAGACACCGTGGTCCTACAGATCGTTGTGTTACTCTTTATCCCAGCAGTTTAAAGGAAGTTTGTTCTAGAGAAACACACTGGGACATGGGACATCCTGACTTTATAGAATAGGCTACACCGTCACTGATTTTGGGCACCAGAGCTTTAATCAAATGAAGGGAAAATTCAGTCTCAAAAGCTTATAAATAACACAAACTGCCCTGCTGTATTTATTCCCAGATAAAAGCCAAAATGTCTTTCTCTTCCCTTCTGATAGTAATCTCATGGAGGGCATGGTACACCCAGGACTGGGTAGGAGCTTTTATGTTCTCCTGGGGAGATGGGGGGGGAAGAGAAAATCACAGTAATTAAGATCTCCCTCAGAGGGTGAAGCAGGGCCTCATTTAAAACACCTTTCCTCTTGATCTGGTAACAGAGTAGACAGTCAGAATGCTAATATCTCTCTGTGGGACTATCTCCTGTGCTTAGCTGAGTTGTTCAGTCAATTGTTCACCAAACGAGGGGCAAACTGCTCCCTCCCACCTTTCCTGCCCAGCCTGGGGGGATCCATGCAGGGCAGGTGCTGCGAGGGGAGCGGGGGACTCTCAGCTGAGATTAGGTACAATTGCAAATACTCGATTTGAGGGCACTGACCTCCAGAGTCTTTGTCGAGAGAAACTGGGGTGATAGTCCAGGGGAATGCATCTCAGTAGCTGCTTGCTTGTTGTCCTTGGTCACCACCAGCTCGTGATGGTGATGTGATCCCAGCCTGCCTTCTCTCGTGACAGCAGCATTTGCCTTGTGCCTGAACGGCCTGACTCCCTTTTTATGGTTCCTATCGAGTAGAAGAGAAAATATCGAAATGAAACATTTTTGCTTAGCCTTTAGGGGCTGAATTTGCTGACGGTTCAGCATCTCTGTTGCAGGGCTACAAATTATTCACAAGGAAAGCTAAGAAAGCCCTGCCCTTTCCACTTAGGCCGAGGCTGCAGGTTGGAAATTTCTCCACTTGGAAAATATCCTACTGAAGAGTGACAATGAAAGGACAGCAGTTTCCTGTGAAGTGCCAAGTTTTATCCGTTTTTGCTAGAGGTATGGACCGAACTGGAATGAGATCATGTTTTGTGCAGTTGGCAGAGTGATCTGACAGGTCTGGCTCCTCACTTCTCTTTTCCCTGTGTGAGTATCCCACAGAACTTAGGAGAAGAGAAGTGCTCAGAGAAGCAGCTGAAAAATGGGCAGAGAGAGTCCCTGAAGCGCCTTGATTTTTGGGGGGTTTACTGTTGATTTGATATTCAGACAGAATCCCCCTGTTAGGAGAGGGGTGGCATTGAATCTCCTGAGAAGGTTCAGCTTGAGGAGCAAGGAGCAAAACTGCCATTGCGTTTACGGGCTGTAATTCCCTTTCAAGGTGGGAGGGGCAGTTTTGGGCAGTTCTCTTTGTTCCTGCGTGATGACTCCAGGTATAATTACAGTGTGAGCTCTGGGGAGGTCCCTCATGCTGAGCTGCTCTGCACGTTTGTGCCAGCTTCCAGCAACAGTTCTGAAGGGCCACCTGTGCCAGGTACACCTGGAGTTCACCTGCAACCGAGTACTTGAGCATTTCCTACTTCTTGGCAATTCTCAACGCTGCTTAAAATGAGAGACAAATTCCTTCACAAAGGGGACCTGACTAGCTCTTAGGACAGGTTTGTTTTCACTTCGGTAGTTCAGATTTGTTCACAGCAGTTAATGTCGGGATCAGCATGGTTGTGCTGCACGGCCAATGAAGCTACAGAGGAAGTGATGGCCTTGTGAGTAGCTGGTTTCTGTTGGGCCTACAAAAGGTCAGGACTCTGGAGTGGATGTTGTTTGTCAGGCGCTGTGGTTACACGCAGGAACACACAATCCTAATGAGGCTGGGGATGTGCCTCATGGGATTCCTTTCTTTTGGAGTCCCTTTCTTCCAGTGTCTTTCATCCTGTCCCACAAACAGGGATGTAGGCTTGCAAGTCAAAGGAGAATAATTCTGTACTTCAATGGTTCTGGCTTCTGTGAAGTGTAACTCACAGCATGTGGTCAGGCTTCACACTGGACTGTTTGGGATTATTTAGAATTCTGTGTCTTTTTATTTTTATCAGGCCTGAAAAGAGTGGATGACCTAAAACGGCGCTTTGTTTCACACTGCTGTGTGTAGGCTGCCGAACACAAAGAACAGTTTGAGTTTTTAATTGTTTTATCCTCAAACATTACTCTTCAAGTTATTTTCTGTAAGGTACCTGATTCAGAACTTGCTAAGTTGCATATTCTGTTGTGATTGGGTTTTCCTGGTTATCACAGTTCCAGTGGTGACTCTGATGATGTATTTTCAGGAGGAAAAAAAGGAAGAAAACACTTGTGCTCTTTGAAAGACCTTTTTATCTGTCTATTATTTGCTTAATTATTTAATTCTATCTGTGTAATGACTATGTAAAACATTATTTCGTAATGTTTAGTGCCTAATTTTAGCTGGCATTCAGCCCTTACCAGTTACTTCAGGTGTGATGATACCCCTGCACGTTTAATGCATTTCCATATAAAATTCTTACTAAGTTATTGATCCTGTATTATAAAAGCCCTTTCTTAGTAAATATTTGTTGCACTTGCCATAAGTGTTCTATTCAAACTGCTGATTGAACTCACAGCAGCAAGGTACAAGGGGCTGTGACATTCTGCAAAATCCTGGTGTGTTTAACAGATCTGCTCAGACTGAATTCCCTGAAAGGTGTCATCTCTAAAAGCATTTGTGCATGCAGGTTTTTTTCATACTCCAGCAAGTAGTCTGTTTACAAGTACCACTGAACAAAAGTGTATAATTTTTTTTTGTAATAGGCTCCATTGAGTTCAATTTACTCTGAATTTTTTCTAAAAATAATCTCTAACCAGATTAGTTGTGAAGAACCTGATATGTACTGTGCATTTCTCGGTGCTGAAGATTTTCAGCAGTAAAAGCTTTTGCTGTTTTCTTTCAAGTGAGAAAAAATTCAAGAAAATAGGCTGAGCTGTGCTATATCCTCAGCCTTTTGAATCCTTGCACCTTGAATCCTGAAAGGCAGATCTTAACTGCCTTAATGCTCTTTTAGGGTGAGGGTAATTTAAACAGGGCTAATTTTTTCTGTTTAAGTCAGAAAAGACAACAGTTTCCATTAATATTATGTAGTTAATGAAATAAATTGGATTTTTTAGTGGTGCTTTTGCTGCAGCCTTTGATACAGTTTCAGAATCAGAGACTTCACTTCAAGGCTACTTTTAGCTTTTCCTGTAGTCCATCTTGCTTTAGGACATGTCCACTCCACCACTGTGGAGAGCACCAGCTTTGACAATGAGTGCATGCATGTGGAGTTCAGTAATGGGAAAAAAAATTATGAATACAGTAGCTATTTATTTAAGAGTTGAAGAAAACCCAATAGTGTTCCCATGTGGATGCTGTTTTGCATGGCATGAGGTAAGTTTTAACTTGGTGTAACCCCAGGGAACCTCACAGCTCATCAAAAGTGCCCTTTGCTTTGGGTTACCGAAAGCAGGGTGGCTGAGGTGGGAGGGGAGAGGGCCTGTGAGAGGCACAGGTACCCATGTCCAACCAAACCAGATGACTGCAGCACTCCTTTATTCCTGGGAGCCTATCCCACCTCCTGCTCAAAGCAGAGTCAGCTTTGGGGTCAGGGCAGGTTGCTCTGGGCTTTGTTCCCTCACAGCTTGGAAAACTTGCTGCATAGCTGTGCTGCCCTTAAAGGTGCAGAGGATTTCCTTATGCCAGCCTGAACCTCTCCTGTTCCAAGGGATGCCTGTTGGCTTTCATGGAAAAAGGTTTGCGAACTGTGGACTTAAGTCCTGGAGTCCAGACTAGGGCTGTATAATCTGCAGTGTCCAAACAACTCCTCTGAGACCTCTTATGGTGGTAAAGATGCTGTTTTTCATTTCTAAACTGGTTCTTCATGTTGGTTTGTTTTTTTCCCTCTGGACCATAAATTCCAGCCTAAGGAAAGGGGTACAGAAACTTATTTTCTAGCATAGGGAACATCTTTAAAGCTGGATATCCACTCAGGGAGAGTGGAAGGAAAAGTGGCTGTGCACATCCATCAACATCCTGAGTTCCCAGGCAGGTGTGAAGTTGCCCATATACCATTAAAGCTGTGTTCTCAGCTGAATGAAAACCCTCCCTGCGGTGGGATTTGTCCTGTAACAAGATCAGAGCTCCTGCCCTCACTCCAGACCAGGGGCTGGGTCCAAGAGAAGCTACAACTGTGCAAGTTCTCTGGCAGCTGCTTCTGCAGAGGGTGAGGTTTGGGCTGGTGTTGCCTGGGAGTGAGTTGCACACAACAGCTGCCACGATTTGCTGGAAACCCTCTGCAGGGAGTCCTGTCCTCTTTTGAGCAGCTCTGTGGGTGCTGTTCCTCTGAAAGACTAGTGTGTGACTTGCCTTGGCTGGGGTAGATGTGAGCTGAAGACAGGGAGTGTGCAAAGTGAATTTTGGTCCATTCTAGGGAAGGGGGAACATGGCCATAGGTATATCTTACTGCTAAGACTGTAGCTTGATATTGTATACTTTTCGTGGGTGCCTCTTATGTGACAGCACATTTCCAGGCAAACGAGGAAGCCCTGGGAATACTGAGCAGTTGGAGCTGACCTTTAGCTGTACAGGCACAGGAATGCACAGCTTAGTCCTGATGTTTTTGTAGTGAGTCCCTCACTGTATAGGTAAGTACTCAACCAACCCCCAGTACTGCTCGTGGCTTGGAATGGAGGGTGGGACATTAAAGAGCTATTGGGATGTCTGAGATTTATTGCAGAAGAGAAGACACAGGTGGGAGCAAGGAAAAGGCAGAGCTGTGTTAGTGGAGTGATGCCAGGGTTGTGAAGGGGATTTTTTTGGACCAGGCTAAGTGGAAAAGATGTCAAATTCCTGTAGGAGTGCATGGCTGCAACTAAGGACAGTTCAAGGAGCCAGAGACGTTGCCAGTGACTTCTTTATTCCTGTTCTGTTGTTTGGCTCCATGGTGGTCATTCACGATTTTGCAACTTGCTTGGGACTGTTTAATTTTGGGTTATTTGTATCTCCTTGCAACAAAGCTTTTGAATCCATCTGTCTTTTATGATCAAGCCTGACACTGAATGCTGAAATGGTTAAAGATGACCTTCCCTGCCATCAGCTGTGCTGCTTCTGTTCAATGCCATCTGTGAATTCACCCAGAAGCTCTCAGCATGCCGAAGTACATCAGAAATAATTATCAGGCTGTTGCTCACAGCTGAATTTCCCTGCCAGTTGTGCAGTTGGTGCCCCAAAGGCAGACCTGTCCGTAGGGTTTGGCTTGTTTCCCACCGTGCTGGGTTTAAGGAAAACGGCACCACCCCGAACATGCTGGTGGCTGCTGTGCAACTTGTTCCTATCGGGGACCTGAACAGAGGCGGCAGGAGAGAGCTCTTGCCTTTCTCCCTGAATCTTGCTCTGTTTTCACCATACCTGCTTGTGGGGTTTATAGTCACTGGTGAAAGGAATTATGGCTGAGGGGGCCATCAGCCCTAAGATTAGAGTAAGGATTCAATGGCTCTTGGCTAGGAATCTCAGAAAGCACTTATAGGTCGTATCTTCAAAAGTTCCTGATATTTGCAGTTGGGACTAAACTGGGTGTTGGTGGGAAGGTAGAAAAAGTGATTGTTTTTTGTTTGGGTTATTTTTTATCAGGTTGCCTGGCATCATCCTCCGAGTTTTAAGGAATAGAAAGTTAATAAGGACATCACAGAAAGTTGGGAACTGTAAGAACCAGGAACCGAGACCAAATGGAGGGCACTGTTTGCCTAACTGTTCTGATTTAGGAG